ACTTTTCGATTTTCACGCGGGCCACCATATGTAATCTTTTCTTTTTAACTTTGGTACACATTGCAGGTTTTACATTGCTCGTGTATAAACGTGCAGAAGCTGCACCGTGTGTTTGCAGTATTTATATAGGGATCAGTGTGGGAACGGTCTAGCCGCACTAATCTTTTTCGTCGTGTTCGGTTCGGTGGTCTCAGTCTGTCACATTTGTTTTTAAGACAGATCGTTAGGCGTTTTATGTTTCTGCGAGACACAAGAGACCCGTTTCTACGTTCAGTTATTCAGCTGAGGCTCGGAAGAGTTTTACCTTCACTTGTTGTCACCACGGATTATGTGCATGGGGCGCTTTATGGTTATCTAAAAGAAGTAGTTTTTGCATGCAATTTTTTATTGGCACGGTTCTCCAGCGAATATATAGCGAGATTAAAACGAAAAAGGTTGTATAGAGACCTTCTCGACATTGGTTTACCGGTACCACTTTACAGGAGTTTGTATCCTGCTGGACGGTGCCAAAATGTACTGGCCCGAGTAAAAAAATGGCTGTCTCACCTAGTTCAAAATCATTTTTCTTTATGCTTCATACAGATACTCTAGAAGTTAAAACGTGGATGCAATAATAGGGACTGTTTGTACCATGGGGAACGCACTGTTTTCTCTGTCGTAAACCTGAAACCATCGAACATGTCTTTCTCGATTGTTGGGAAGGGGTGTTCTTCTGGGACGTTCTGCAGAGAACCATCAAAAAAAATTTACCGATTGATGCCTATGGGATCAGGTTTTCACCAGTCAATGAAGAAGACGATGGAGCCCCTTCTGGTAATGTCATGTTGCTCGGTCTTCACAGTATTTGGAAAAAGTACAAGGCAGTCCGCCATTCCGACATTAATACACTGCCCATTCGTGAATATTTCCACCAAAAGATCACGAAGTTTATTCAAGAGTGTAAAACTAAAGACCCTATTCCAGAGTGGCTCGAACATCTTGAGCCGTTTATTCGTTTAAAGGAATTCTAGTCTCTATCTAACCATTTTGTTTGTTACTGCTGTATGTACTGTTTATGCACTGTATTATTATTGAATGATGTGCAAAAGTAAGTAATAAAAAAAGTGACGCTGTTTCACGTGCGTGCTTCACGTGAAGCATGCTTGTGAAGCATGCACATCTGCTTCACGTGCATGTGGTTTCGAGTTCGATTCTCAGGGCTGTGTGTGCTTTGCATGTTAATCTCGCAGATGTAGCTGATTGTGATAGTAATGGTTTTCTAATTACCTGTAGTCATAATATCCGTCGCATTATCGGCTAGAAACCGCTCTCAAAAGTGTAAAATATTGCTTTTTTTCCCGCCACCGCGTCAGGGTCGGGCCGCCTACGCAAATGTCATGCCTAACTGCAGGCCGTGTCTTGACAAAAAAAAAAAAAACGGCTGTGGCGGCTGCATTTCCGATGGAGGCAGAAATGTTGTAGGCCCGTATACTCAGATTTGGGTGCACGTTAAAGAACCCCAGGTAGTCAAAATTTCCGGAGCCCTCCACTACGGCATCTCTCATAATCAAATGGTGGTTTTGGGACGTTAAACCCCACAAATCAATCAAATCAATCGATTGACAGAAAAAATTTGACATAAAATTGCGGCTAATCCTTGTCCCTGCTATTCTGAAGGCCACTTCGAATCGGGCCAGTTTCTCTGGGACATGGCGACGGAGCCGCGTAGAAGCGGCGATAATTTGACTTGATTTCCTGCCTGCAGGCTTGTAGTCTAGCCAGGATTTGACCAAGAGTGTTGATTGTCTCAGGGCTTTTTCGCATTCGGCACCAGCTTTCGTATCTATTTTACTTTTTAAGTATGACCGCATGTACAAGTTTATAATTTGCAATTAAAGCGCCGACATCAACTCAAAATAGCATGGGGCGTTAGCGAGATGCACTTGTCATCAGCGACAGGCGCTCCCACCCGAAGCAAACTGGAAATTGCCGCGCACCGCGCGTGAGTCAGCATACACAGCTGGTGGCAGGGCGATTGCCATTCGGACCGGGCCGAGACGTTTCAGTCAATTTCAAATTTTATGTTTTCCCGGAAAATGGTCTATCCTTCATTAAAAAAAAATACCAGAATGGAATCGGTGCTTGGACACTGTACCGAAGAATGTTTGAAATATGTCCGACTTTTGCTTGTAAAATCAGAAAACTACGCGATGTGCGATCTCGCCGACTGAGAGGAACTAGGACTAGGCGAGGAGCCAGGCGCTTATGCAGCGCCCGCTTCCTGAACATCCGCTAATTTCGCCGCCATAAACCTGACCGTCAATCTGCATATGGCATTGAGAGAACAAAGGGAAATACAGGTACAGCTGATATTTACTTACCTTCTATTTTGACTTGAACGAACTGAACACTGAACATCACAAACATTGTATAGTTAGGTACGTCTAATATAGAATCGTCATGCATTGCTAGAAGGCTGGCAGTCATTTTTGATGAATATATGAAGAGGACAGATCATGTGAATGCCAGCTAAATAAACTTTCAAAAACTGAACAGCTATTATCTAAATTTTGTTTCATCCTGCCACAGAAGACAAAGATGTTAATTTACTAATCATACCAACTTACTTTATTGCAGCTTAGTCGGGGGCAAGACCACCAAAACCAATGTTTAGAAATGGCACAAACTCCAAAAAAGGGCTATTCGAAACATCGTTAGTGTCACATACGATGACTACATGAGCTCTATCGCACAAGTTTACACCAACGCTACAAGGAATGACGCATTTTCATTGAATGGTCAGGGCGACCTCATGCTGAACATGTGTCGGCATTGAGGGTTTGTGAATTCTGGAGATTACCTAGAACGTGAACCCATTACGGGAGTCAGATGTTGAAATACCAGTTACGCCTACTACTTAATAATTTCGAGCAACATACGCAACACGTTCACGTAACTAATTGGCATCTGTATGATGATAAAAGTATCTCTGAATCTCTTCCTCCCCCTTTTTGTTGTTTATCGAGTGTATCTCAATCAGCTTCAGCAGAGCATTTCTTCTTTTTTTATTGTGTACTTTTTCAGTTTTACTTGGTCCTTTATGTTGTTCCAGTGAAGGAATGCGCCCGTTGTGCCTTTCTGTCTACTCTGTATACTATATCTTTGCCAAGCCCAGGAGTACAAACCCTGTCAAGCCAGACCTATTGGTTTTTGCTCGTACACACCAAGCTCTATTGAGTGTAGATGTAGCCGAAACGAAATGCTGATTGATTGGTTGAAATGGGCAGGCTTTGCCCATTTTTTTAATCGATCTTGATACTGGTCCTACTCGTTCCTCTTTTGCATTATTAGTAGCGAATCGCTTCTGAGGGGTCAACCCCCCCCCCCCCCCCAACACGCGTGGGTGTTCGTCACTGAAGGACAGGTGAATCACTACAACTTTCACATTGGGCTAAACTGCATTTTTTTACTGTTATGAAGCGGCCCACGCCGCTGCCCGCGCGCACGTCAGCCGGACTGCCCGGGGACCAAAGAATACCCGATCCGTGGCTGCAGAGATGGAGGTAGTAGAAAACACCTACTCGTCGCTACTTCAACACTACAAATTAGAGCGAGGGGTGTACACTCTACCCCATTTAAAACCAACCAAAGAAAAGAGCGTGATTTCCAGACCCCTGCAAAGCAACACTTACATATATGACATATTATTGCACCGCCTATACTCAACGACACATGGCCACATGTACCCGCTCTACAGCATACCGCACACCCTGGCACACTTTCTACTGGAATGCCAGTGCCATGAAAACCATGACGTTCAGCTGGAGCGAGACTAAGCCCCAAGAATAAACGACGCTCACTTAATGAAAACGTGGGAGGCCAAACTTGTCCTCGAGGACCTGGAAGACCAGCGACAACTCGTCGCCAGGGCCAAGCGGACAATCGAAGCCAGAGGGTTCCAGGACTAGGAAACCCTCCCACCTGAGAGTGATACCGGGCCTCGCTTGGAACACTGTTTCTAAATCAACGTTTATTTCCCCCACTCTCTCTCTTTGGCTAGAACATACATTTGATTGGCCAGGTTGATACTGTGACCTCAGTCCCAATTTTTCATCATAATTATCAAAAGGGACAACAAAAGCATGACATCATTAGGTATTCTTCCTGATTATTTATTAAGAGTATGCACTATGGAAGTGTGGAACACATCTGGGACAGCTGCGGTATAGTCGCGTAGATACGGCAAAGAAAGCTGCGCTTTCAGATGTGGCATCACTCGAAGAAGGGTTCTGAGTGGGCATGGTATGTGGCACTAACGATGCTTCGACTGGCTCTCTTTTGGAGTTTTTGCCATTTTTGAACGTTGGTTTTGGTGGTCGTGAGGCAGAAGAAGTGACAATAAGATCATGCATTAACATTTGGCCATGCGTGTCCTTACTTTATCAGCGAGCATTGTAGTCTTTCAAATAAGAGAGCTGGGCTAGTTGGTAAGTATTCATTCCAGAAGGCGGGAAATGCAAATATGAGACACAATAAGTCACGACACCACAATCACCCCGCGAACAACAGATGAGCACAAGAGCTGAAAAAAAAACAGGTTGAAAACTTGTCTGTCCATTCCCATGCAATTAACGCACGGACACGCATGGGAACCTGCGTGAAGGATTATTGTTAAGTCGTTTGATTAAATCTTCATGCAAGTTAGCTATGTATGCGTTAGCCAACCGTACATTAACTTGCATAAACACGAACTCAAATATTAACGGTTATCCGCCCCGCGCAGGCGGGATCGCCTTGCGCGTGGCGATCCCGCCTTCTTTCGTGCCTTCTTTCTTTTCCGCTGTTGTGTACTTCATCAGTTGTTAGTTGCCTCGCGAAGAGTGGACTTCGTTCTTATGCCCATGTTTGCACGCCATGACTTCTAGAATAAATTGTAGTCTTTGCTCTCATGTGTAGAACTGCTTACTATTACCATTGTAATTCACACGATGGGCCTCACAATATGCTTCTATTGCTTGCAGGTGGTCTGGAAGCACATTCTTAATGTGTACCCAGATGGGCTGACGGGTCGAGAGCGGCTAGCATACATGCGCCGCAAGAGCGACCAGTACTTACAGCTGCGCGCTGCTTGGAAGGCGCTGCTGGACAACCCGGATTACAGTGGTGACATCCAGCTGGTAACCAACATGGTGCGCAAGGACGTTCTTCGCACTGACCGCACGAACCCATTCTATGCGGGTGGGGATGACAATGCCAATGTAGTCTCACTCTTCAACTTGCTGACTACATTTGCACTGAACCACCCGACGCTCTCGTACTGTCAAGGGATGAGTGACTTGGCATCCCCTTTGTTGGTGGTGATGCGCGATGAACCGCACGCCTATGTGTGCTTCTGTGCACTGATGCGGCGCTTGGCACCTAATTTCAACCTGAATGGAGAAGCCATGACGCTCAAGTTCCAGCATTTGTCTGACCTCGTAGAGCACTTTGACCCACTCTTCTTCAGGTGGGTCCAATCCACTCACTTGTGTTTTCTTTGTTGAGCCTGTCCTTTGCAGGTACCTCAAGGAGCATGGTGCCCAGGATCTGCTCTTCTGCTACCGCTGGCTTTTACTGGAGCTGAAGCGGGAGTTTGCCTTCGACGATGCGCTGCACATGCTCGAGGTGCTGTGGAGCTCCCTGCCACCATCGCCTCCACAGGCCGAGTTGCCATTGTGCGAACAGCCTTATCAAATGAACCCACCACCACCACGTTCCTCAACCAACCCATACTGCAAAGTGCGTGCAATTCGACGCCCCATGGTGCGTGAAGGGTCAAGCAGTGACGAGGACGAGGCTTGTGAACGTGACTTGGGCTGGTGCAATGGTGACTCTGAAGACAAGCCTTCGAATCACACAAGTGAAGGCTACGTGTCTGAGGGTGCATCATCTCGGGAGGCCTCAACGGAGGACTCACTGCCACCGTGGACTGCTAAAACCAAGATGCTGCCACGGCCGCAAGAACTTGGTGGCGGAAACCCCTTCATGATGTTTTTATGCCTGACATTGCTTATGCAGCACCGTGACATAATCATGCGCAATACCATGGACTACAATGAGCTAGCTATGCACTTTGACAAAATGGTTCGCCGGCATAACCTGCAAAAAGTGTTGCATCAGACTAGGGCTCTGTACGCAGAGTATCTACGTCTTGCATGGGAAGAACATGTGTGATTTTTATTATTGCAGGAGCTTTATACCCGGTGATGAGTCTGCCATGACACATTTAGTCTGTGATAGTGAGTACATATTGCAGTCGTGCCTTGTTATTGATATTATTCAGTAGTGAACATTGCTTTAGACACTAGGCATTTCTCATTTATTTTTCTGTCACAGACATGCACACATGTAGACACATACATAAGTGGACAAGGCACAAACATGCACTTCGTATGCATGTATTTGCCTAAGAATTGTTGGCTTAACGACCCCATTCTTTTCTCTAAAGAAATCTGAAGCTTAGGACGCCATAGTAGCAAGATAGTAGCTGTAATTATTCAACAGCAAGTACACATTTTCTCAAAGGTAACGATTACAATGCTTACTATAGTTTGGTGCTTAGTATAAATAAAACACTCTTACTGAATTTCTTTTCTGTTGCATAATCAACTTTATGGCAGGTCCAGTAATGTTGCAGCCCTTGAGTAACTTTAAACTGTACTTTGAACTCTTTCAATATGGCCGCAAGAACTGTAACATGCTTCATGTTCGTGCATATTGTGAATATTTTTATTTAAACAGTAGTTTACACTGTAACAGCATTTTTCAACAAATGGGTTGTTATTTTACATGATGATTCATTAATAGTGACCTAAACAGTAACAAGACACGACTGTACTTTCATAACTATGGTTTGATTTAATGGGAAGCAGGACCTCTGCCTGTCCAGGCATTTACCTCATCTCATTTTGGACTTTTTTCTCAGAAGTGTCAAGTCATTGTATTTGAATTGGCGTATTACGTTGTCTTGTGCTTTATTGCAGCACCAACATTTCATATTTTTTTTAAAACACAACGCAAGGCACTGAGACAAGCAAAAAACAGGCTGGCTATTTCATGCCAATGAAATATGTGACAATGTAACCGTAGTATTCACAATTTGCCGTCTTTCTTCTGTTCAGGTGCACGTCAATAATTTATTTGGATAATTTTTTCTCAACGAATATCTTAAAACGTTAAGAAACAATGAGCTAATTACGGCAACACGAGTATGCTCGTTATGACCTTAGCTTGTATTAGCGCGGTACATATAAAAATATAAAGGAAAAGATGAAACAGACATCAAGAAAGGCAGGCGTCAGACTTCCTACTGTTTATTTCATGGCCTTCACACCATTTTTATGCATGTATAAGATGGGTGAGTAGGGCATGAAATAAGCAGTTCGATGTCCAGCGCCTACCTGTCTTGATGTCTGTTTTGTGGTTTGCCTCTGTCTTTCACATGTGCCATGCTAATACAAGCTAAGGTCATAAAGAACATACTCGTGTTACTGTAATTAGCACATTGTTTTTGAAGCCTTAAAGTACAGCAAAGAAAAAGTCATGCAAATAAATTATTAACGTGCAACTGTGCAGAAGCAAGACTATGAAATGCGAATACTACTGCTACGTGTTTGACAAGATTATGTGTTGTGTTTTTACGCATGTATAAGATGGGTGTGAAGGACATGAAATAAAAATTCGGATGATGATGATCTATAGCGTTTCCTGGCGCAAGGTTCATGTGATGGCCAAAGAACGCCAGTACATGTGGCAGAAGGTATTGACAATGGGTATGCTAACCGGCTGTATATAGACCTAAAATTCCTCCCCCCTTTGCGGGTAAAACAAACGTATTAAAATCAACGGACTGACATGAAATGTCTGCAGTGAAGATGAGGGGCAAACAGATGTGATGAAACTATGAAAAGAAAGGCCACAGGAGGGACACCTACTGAAGCATTCTGCCCCGCCGCGGTCATTGTGCCCCGCCGCGGTCAATCCCTGAGCTTTCGTTCTAGGAAGTGGTTCAGGTCTAGTGTCGGGAACGCTATGGATCTGTTGGTAGCATTATCGTGCACGGATGCAGCTAGCTGATCAGCTAGCACGTTTCCTTGAATTTCGCGATGACCTGGCACCTAGCATATCACTGCATGTTGTTGAGATGCATAAATTGTGCACAGAAGTGAATAAAGCAACTTGATTAGAGGATTTTTATGCCTTTTAAAGGTTTTCAAAGCTTTTACGATGCCTAGGGAGTCCGTGTGTATAACAGCGTGATGTATGCTCATTTTCTTAATATTTTTAACTAGAGCCAGTATCGTGAAGGCTTCTGTTGTAAAAATGCTCGAGTTAAGGTGAAGCACACCGGCATTCAAAAAAGGGTGGACGACCGCCGCATACAACACACCAACGAGGGACATAGACGCATCTATGAAAAATTCACGACAATTATATTTGTGCTTTTCTCCCACCTTATGACCATATGGGGGTCGCCATCTTGTGTGGGACCAAGCCACTTTGAGGACAACGAGTCATATCTCGGCTTTTACACACCCCAGGACGACAAATCAGGTCTCAATTGAGTCGTTAAAATCCGGAGATAGCCGCAGAAAAAACCGCGAGCGCCCAATTCAACTGAGAGCGTCAAAAAGACTTATTCAGGAGACACACTCAGTGTTGCCGGACTGCTGTCACTGCTTGAGCTGGGTTTGGCGAAATAGCTTCCACAGCGAATTAAGCCCACCGGAACTGCTCCTCCACCTCTTAGCCAATAAGCACAGATTATTCCAACTGCGGGAGCGGGAGCGGCCGCGTCAGCAGCATGGGTAAGTGAGCTCTGCACATATCTACCTATAACATATCTACCTATAACCTTAGCAATTTTGGTCCTAGGAGGGTCAGAGTGGTGTCTATTTGTTCGTGAAGATACAAGGAGTTCAACCGCTACAAATACTGCTATTACAAACAAAAATTTTAAATTTTAGGAACGGGAAACAGTGTGAATCTGAAAACAACAACAGTCGGACCACGTGCCCGGTGCCGCGCAGTTCCCAACCGGAAAAAAAAAAACGCGTGTTGATGGAACTACAATAAGAGGCCTGAGGTGCGGTCTCACCGGTATCCACCGCCGGGAACGCACTCCCTCACCAGAGAAGGATTGGCCACCCTGGTGCAGTATCTGGCCACTACCTCCCACATGGATACGCCAAATAACTCACGGCCCTCAGTCCTCAGCGGCTGCGAAGCAACTGACTACGGCGGCGGTCAGATCTGCAACGCAGCTGAGGGTGCTAAAATCTCTGGACTACAGGCCGCCATTGGAACTTGAACTTGGCAACGTTTAACGCTAGAACCTATCTAGTGAGGGAAGTCTAGCTGTACTATTCGAAGAGCTAGAGGGTGTTAAATGGGATATAATAGGGCTCAGTGAGGTTAGGAGGACAGATGAGGCCTATACAGTGCTACAGAATAGGCACGTCCTTTGCTATCGGGGCTTGGCAGACAGAAGAGAACTGGGAGTGGGGTTCCTAATTCACAGAAACATAGCTGGCAACATAGAGGAATATTATAGCAATAATGAAAGGGTGGTAGGTATTGTAATTAAACTGAATAAAAGATACAAGATGAAGGTAGTACAGGCTTACGCGCCTACATCCAGCCATGATGACGCTTCGGTTGAAAGCTTCTATAAAGACGTGGAATCGGCATTGAGTAAGGTAAAAACACAGTATACTATAGCGATGGGCGACTTTAATGCAAAGGTAGGGAAGAAGCAGGCTGGAGACCAGGCAGTAGGAGATTATGGCATCGGCACTAGAAACGCCAGAGGAGAGCTACTAGTAGAATTCGCAGAACGCAATAATTTGCGGATTTTGAATACCTTCTACCGAAAACGAGAAAACCGCAAGTGGACATGGAGGAGCCCTAATGGCGAAAATAAGAACGAAATAGACTTTATAATGACCGCACACCCAGGAATAGTGCAGGATGTGGAAGTGGTTGGCAAGGTACGATGCAGTGACCATAGAATGGTAGGGTCTCGAATTCGCCTAGACTTGAAGAAGGGACGACAGAAACTGATACGCAAGAAGCCAATCAATGAGCTAGCACTGACAGGGAAAGTACAGGAATTCAGAGTGTCGCTGCAGAACAGGTACTCAGGCTCTTAGTGAGGAAACCAACCTTAGCGTAGATACAATGAATGATAATCTGACGAGTATCATTACGGAGCGTGCAATGGAAAATGGAGGCAGGGTAGTTAGACAGGACACTGGCAAGCTTTCCCAGGAAACGAAGAACCTAATTAAGAAGCGTCAAACCATGAAAGTGTCAAGTACAACAGACGAAATAGAACTGGCAGTGCTTTCGAAGTTGATTAGTAGACGTAAAGTATGCGATGTAAGAAGGTATAACATGGAGATAATTGAACACGCTCTGAAAAACGGAGGAAGCTTCAAAGCAGTGAAGAGGAAACTTGGGATAGGCAAAAGTAGGATGTATGCACTAAGGGACAAAGAAGGCAAAATAACTACCAATATGGATAGGATAGTTAAAAAAGTGCCGCCACATCCACGAAGTGAATGATGATGAGTGGGCGAAGCTCCGGAGGTAAACCTGGTAAACCATGAATCCTCCGTACATTTTGCCCACTCGATTTTATTGCAACGCTCCCCCTAGCGTACGTCGCCGCACTATATCGAACGATGACACGCGCCATATGTGGCATCATTCCTATTTTATAACACCTCGCATCTTTCATAATCAACTACACGTACCGCCGTCTAGTTTATAACATCTTGCATCTTTTGGACGGACGGACGGACGGACGGACGGACGGACGGACGGATGGATGGATGGATGGATGGATGGATGGATGGATGGATGGATGGATGGATGGATGGACGGACGGATGGACGGATGGATATGGCTGTACCCTTTAGATCGGGCGGTGGCTAGCGTAATACTTAATGCCGTCAGCTACAAGTACCGCCATCTAGTGAACACTGCAAGAACTGAACGAGAGGTGGCTACATACAGGGGACGCACAGCCCACGCCTTAAGGAGCTTCGCTCCTAAAAAGCGGAGGAGTTTTACAGAGATCTGTACAATAGCCGAGACAACCGCGACCTTAATACTATAAGAACTAGCAGTAACCCAGACGACACCCCACCAGTAATGATAGAAGAAGTCAGAAAAGCTTTGGAGAGCATGCAAACAGGCAAAGCTGCTGGTGAGGATCAGGTAACATCAGATCTGCTGAAAGATGGAGGACAGATTGTGTTAGAAAAACTAGCCACCCTGTTTACGAGGTGTCTCCTGACGGGAAGGGTACCAGAGTCTTGGAAGAACGCTAACATTATCTTAATACATAAGAAAGGAGATGACAAGGACTTGAAGAATTACAGGCCAATCAGCTTACTCTCTGTAGTGTACAAGCTATTTACAAAGGTAATTGCTAACAGAGTAAAGAAAACATTAGAATTCAATCAACCAAACGAACAAGCAGGATTTCGAACAGGCTACTCAACAATTGACCACATTCATACTATCGATCAGCTAATAGAGAAATGCTCAGAGTATAACCAACCACTATACATAGCCTTCATAGATTACGAGAAGGCGTTTGGTTAAGTAGAAATATCAGCCGTCATGCAGACACTGCGGAATCGGGGCGTAGATGAAGTATATATAAAAATTCTGGAAGAAATCTACAGGGGATCAACTGCTACCATAGTGCTTCATAAACAAAGCAACAGAATACCAATCAGAAGGGTGTAAGCAGGGGGACACAATCTCCCCAATGCTATTTACCGCGTGCTTACAGGAGGTTTTCAAAAGCCTAGAATGGGAACAGTTAGGGATAAGAGTTAATGGAGAATACCTTAGTAACCTGCGCTTCGCCGATGACATAGCATTGCTGAGTAACTCAGGGGACGAATTGCAACTCATGATTACGGAGTTACACAGGGAGAGCAGAAAGGTGGGTCTTAAAATTAATCTGCAGAAAACGAAAGTAATGTACAACAACCTCGGAAAGGAACAGCGCTTCGAGATAGGTAATAGTGCACTTGAAGTTGTAAAATACTATGTCTACTGTAGCGGAAGCTGCTCAGCACCACCGCATTCTTTTCTATCCCGTCTGCAGCCGGCAGTCGACAGCGCGCCTACTCGCGGCGCGAGCGCCTCCTCCTCCGTGTTCGGGGAACAACGTGTTGTCGGGGCCGGCTCCGGGGATTAGCACCGGCGGCATGCTACGTCTGCTCGCTCGGGGGCCCCCTTTTCCTCTTTCTTGTAGAAGAACGCGGGGGTGCCTCCTTCTCTCCCTCGTCGAGGGGAACCCTCGTCACTCACACGGAGTGGAAATAAAGAGTCTTGCCCTGCAACTCCAAACCAGCTTCACGTCTCCTTTCTCACTGCCTCCGGCAGCCGACATTCCCGGCCACTACACTACTTAGGACAGGTAATAACCGCAGAACCTAACCACGAGATTGAAGTAACTAGAAGAATAAGAATGGGGTGGAGCACATTCGGCAAGCACTCTCAAATTATGACAGGTAGATTGCCATTATTCCTTAAGAGGAAGGTATATAACAGCTGTATCTTGCCGGTTCTTAGCTACGGAGCAGAAACCTGGAGACTCACAAAGAGGGTTCAGCTTAAATTGAGGACGACGCAGCGAGCAATGGAAAGAAAAATGGTAGGTGTAACCTTGAGAGACAAGAAGAGAGCGGAGTGGATTAAGGGACAAACGGGGGTTAAGGATATCATAGTTGAAATAAAGAAGAGGAAATGGACATGGGCCGGGCAT